TAAAATACGAAGGGGTTTGGAGTCCTTTTCTCAATGGGTTCAGCAAGTTTGCTTAGCAGGGCCCTGGCCTGGTAAATATTGAGCAAGGGCTGCTATACAACTATTACTCCAGGGCTCCTCAGAGCAGCCATGCCTCAGCTTCTCCCAGCAGCTCCGGGGTCAGGACAATGTTAGCCCCCATTTTACAGCTCAGTTTCATTCATTCATTTAAGAAATCAGGGTCGGGCGTGGTGGCTCACACCTGTAATCCCAGCACTTTGGGAGGCCAAGGCGGGCTGATCGCTTAAGCTCAGGAGTTCGAGGCCAGCCTGGCCAACCTGGTGAAACCCCGTCTCTACTGAAAATACAAAAATTAGCCAGGTTTGGTGGCACACGCCTGTAGTCTCAGCTACTTGGGAGGCTGAGGGCTGAGGTGGGAGAATCACCTGAGCCTGGGGAGGTCAAGGTTGCAGTGAGCTGAGATGATGCCACTGGACTCCAGCCTGGGTGACAAAGTGAGACCCTGTCTCAAAAAAAAAAAAGTCAGCATCGAGTGCCTACTGTATAACAGGCCCCATCTTGCACAAGTCAGGATCTTCTTGATCATGAGGGACTCTTAGCTGGGTGGGAAGGCGGACACTAATCTAATGATCACACAGAGAGTTATGAGAAACCATAAGAGTGACGAGTGGGGATGTGAGGAGTAGGGAGTGAGGGAAGGCTTCCTGGAGGAGGCAATGCTGGACTAAGGTGGTAAAGAGGGGCCAGAAGAGGGAATGCAAAGGCCCTGAGGTGGCTAGTGGGGAATGGATGGGGGATGGGGGAAGAGGTTGTAGCCCACGTGAGGCTGGGAGCGTTTGGGCCAGAGTTGTTTTTTTTCTTTTGAGATGGGGTCTCGTTCTCTCACCCAGGCTGGAGTGCAGTGGCGTGACCACAGTACACTGCTGCCTCGACCTCTTAGGATCAGCTGTTTCTCCTTCCTTAGCCTCCTGTGTAGCTAGAACCACAGGCATGTGCCACCGCACTCAGCTTAGTTTATTTGATTATTTGTAGAGATAGAGTTTCACCATATTTCCCAGGCTGGTCTCTTACTCCTAGGCTCAAGTGATCCTCCTGTCTTGGCCTCTCAACGTGCTGGGATTACAGGCATGAGCCACCGCACCCGTGGGCTAGGGTTTTCTTCTTAGGTTGTGGGGTCCTGGAGCTGGAGAGTCAGGGCCTGACTGGTGAGATGTTCAGAGTTTATTCTGGCTGCGGTTCAGCTGGAAGTAAGTGATTCATCTTGTGAGCCTCAGTTTTCCGGTCCATACAATGGATGTGGTCAGGCAGCCTCTCCAGAGCCTCTGCCCCTCTTCCCACTTCCCCTCCTCTGTCTCTGTCTTTCCTGATCCATCTTTTCCCTTCTCCACGGCTCCCACCTATAGGTGGGAAGCCTGTCTCCATCAGGGAGATAGGCTGCCTCAGTTTACCTCCCCAGGTACCTTCCTTCTCGATCTCTCCAGTAGCCTCTGGGTGTGGTCAGAAACAGATGTTGTCTCTGCCTCTGCCCTTGAGCCAGGATGGGACTGAGGTGTCAGAGGTTTCTGGGGACCATGGGCTGCAGGAGATGACCCCTGGACTCAGGGTACCTCCTGGCCTGGCCCCTGATACTTTATTATCTGTGCCCAGATGCCAAGCCTTCTGCCCAGGAAGCCCCTTCTTTTTTTTTTTTTTTTTTTTTTTTGAGACGGAGTCCCGCTCTGTCGCCTGGGCTGGAGTG